CAATAGATCTGTTTTGGAAGAAGTGCAGCCAGAGTGCTCCTTGGAGGCCAGGATGGCTAAGCTTCGTCTCTTCTACTTTGGACAACAATTGTTGGAGAAGGATGTCATGCTGGGTAGGGTGGAGGGTCAGAGAAAAAGAGGAAGACCCCCAACGAGATAGATCAGCCAGGTGGCATCATTGATAGACTCAAGTGTGGCAGCAGTAGTGAGGTTGGCCCAGGATCAGACATTGTTTCGTTCTGCTGTGCATGGGGTCGCTATGAGTTGGTTCCGACTCGATGGCACCTGACAACAACAACAACAAGTATACATTTTAAAAAGTCATTTCCTGTGCAGAAAACGTATTAAATAAGAATATATACGTGAGCATGTAACTTGTGGCAAATCTAGACATAAGCATTTTTATAACAATTCTCAGACTCCCCAGAGTAGTTTATGTTGCACATAACAAATTACTCCAAAATATAGTGACATCAAATAGCATACTTATTATCTCACATTTTTTTGTGGGTCAAAAAGATAGGCACTACGAAAAAAAAAGGCACTGCTTAGCTGGGAGCCTCTGGCTCAAAGTCTTTGCTGACAATGCAGTCAAGCAGTCCTGGGCACCAAGTGAGCCCCCTCTCTTTGCCTGTACTGACAAAACCAAACGAAGACGTCTGACCCGAGGTCCCCTGATAAGGTTGACTGTCCTAGGTATTTGGACCTGGAGCATTGAATAGTGAAGCTAGTTAGATAGTGGGACCTTAAGGTCATATCGAGATGGAGCTGGAAGCAGTGGTTTAACCAAGTCAGAGGTCCATAAAAACCCAAACCAAATCCACTGCCATTGAGTTCATTCGGACTCATAGCGACCCAACTGCTCCACAGGGTTTCTGAGACTATAAATGTTTACAGTAGCAGACAGTCTCATCTTCTTCAGTGAAGCAGCTGATGAGTTGGAACTACAAACCTTATGGTTAACAGTCCAGCACTTAATTCGTTGCACTAATAGAGCTCCTTAGAATTACTTGGGGAAACAAGAATATATTTTCTTGAATATATAGAATATATTATTCTATAATTCTATAATAATAAA